CTGCTTGTGTTAATAAGTGACTTCCTAATGAGAATAGAAATATAAGTAGGAAGTGCTTTGTGGGAAAGACCATAGGAAATGAAAATAAAATGATGGTTCTTACTTGCTAATTAGGACAGAATGGCACCTTCAGAAAAATCACAGTGGTTAGTATTACTGTTCTCTCCAGGAGGATGGACTCTTGTTCATCTTGTCCAACTGAGGAATTGTGTATCCTTCCTTTGAATTTGACTAATTAAATGTAAGAATAATTTTAAAAAGAGAAAAATGTAGAAATAGTTTACCAGGAGCACTCTAATAATGAAAATCATTGCCAAGTTATTTAGTAATAGTCTTATATTTTTCAACACCTCTTCACGTTTGGCAATTTCCTATGCAACCTTGGAAGTAATGGGTAAGAATAATCTCCTTGGCTGGGAAGTAACTGATCCAAACTGAATGAAAATCTTGAACTTGGGCATATTTAAGATGCTCATTATGACCGCATATAAAAAAGCTGTTACTGGCATGTGAAATCTTTAGAACCAAGTAGTGATTGAACCTCAAAGGTTTATTTTTAAAGAAAACTCCTTCTTTTTCATAATTCTTAGGTTTTTTAGAATATATCCAGGAATGAAGCATTATGGAAATTTATCAATTCTTAAACTTAGCAAATTCAGTTAGTAGCATTTTTTTTTTGGGGGGGGGTACGCGGGCCTCTCACTGCTTTGGCCTCTCCCGTTGTGGAGCACAGGCTCCGGACGCGCAGGCTCAACGGCCATGGCTCACGGGCCCAGCCGCTCCGTGGCATGTGGGATCTTCCCGGAATGGGGCACAAACCCGTGTCCCCTGAATCGGCAGGCGGACTCCCAACCACTGCACCACCAGGGAAGCCCAGTAGCATTTTTTTATGCCTCAAGAGAATATCAAAATCCAGGCTCCAAGATCTGGACTCTTTTCTTCTAATGTGGATACATGTATGAATTTTCTAGGACTGCTGTAACAAAGTACCACAAACTTAGTGGTTTAAGAACAAAATAAATTTATTGTCTCACAGTTCTAGAGGCTGAAAGTCTAAGATCAATGTGTTGGTAGAGTTGGTTCCTTCTGAGGGCTGTGAGTGAGAATCTCCACCATGCCTCTTATCTACCTTCTGATGATTTGATGGCAGTCTTTGGCATTATTAGCTTATAGTAGCATCACCTTGATCTCTGTCTTCATCTTCACATGGCATTTTCCTTGTGTTTGTGTCATTGGTGTCTACATTTCCTCTTTTAATAAGGATACCAGTCATATTGGATTAGGGCACACCCTACTCAGTATAACCTAATCTTAACTAATTACATGTATAATGACCCTATTTCCAAATAAGATCACTTTCTGAGGTACTGGAATTTAAGACTTCAACATGTGGATTCAGCTTGTAACATAATTCAGTCCATAACAATATGTAAGTAAAAAATGGATGTGGACATTGTTGAGAGTCATCCTGTAGATCATCTACTCATTTGAGATCTTCTATCTCATATAGTGAAACAGAGAAATTAAAGATTCAGAGGCAACTTTTATCAGAAGAGGGATGTTTTCTGTATGTACCCAAGGTCTCCCGTTGGGAATCATCTCCTCGCTGGCTGCCCTAACATCAACCCTTACCTCAGCCTCAGTTCTCTAGCATACTCTTTCCCTGAGTCACCTGGGAAAAATATCACTTTTATATTACTCTCTCCTCAATAAATTTTGGTGGCTCCCTGCTAACTGCATAGTAAAGTCCAAGCTCTCAAATATTCTATTTAGAGTCTTCCACCCACCAAAGCATACCTGTCATCTTACTCCTCTCAGTTTTCACACGTAGAAATCCAGTGTTCCAGCCAAACTCAACTTCTCATCATTTTCCAAGCAAACCAAAACATTTTAAAATTTCTGCACCTTTGTTTATTATGACTATTTTTGAAACCTCTTTCTTTCACTCATCCTGTAAGCCTGGCTGAAGTTGCACATCCTTCACGACACAGTCACTATGCACATGAGGTGTCTGCCTCTCATTCCTGTAGCACGCATTGGTCTGTGAGTCACTTTGAACTAATTTTTGTTTGTATTGTTTTTTTTCCTTTACATGTTTATGTCTTACATGTCTTACCTCCCCACCTGGCTTGTAAACATCTTGGGAGCAACTATATTCTATTTTGTTATTCATAGAGTAATATAGGTTGTCAAACATTATTGACACAGTTAGGACTGATTTATTGTGCATTTTCTTACCAGTGAAGTACACAGTGGCTGTTTTATTGTTTCCCTTGATTTGTTGTGCACCTACAGTTAGTTGCAAAAATCCTAGTTCACAGAGTTCCACATTGTCTCATGTAGAGTTGGGAGTCAAGGGGTTTGGATCCATCCTGTTGAACTAGTTCATTTAGTCCTCATAGCTTTAGTTACCTTATCTATAAAACAAGGAAATAATGCCAATTTAGTTCTAAAGTTACTGTCAGATCTAAAATTCTATAATAGTTTATACATTATATCATTCAAATTGATATCTCTATATAAAGCTAATTGGGCACTGGAAGCTTTTATACAGATACATAGATTGATAGATTGATGAGCCTTGTATTGCTGATTTAGTTCTTTTTTTCTGTCAATGCTGACCGACAGTTTAGTGATCCTCAATTATTTGTTTGATTTTATAATTCTGGCTATATTGAAAATAGTCTTGAAGTGACCTATTGAAAATAAAAAACAATTAAAAGGTAATTTGGAGGTAATTTCTGTGATGATATATAAGGAATTACTAACAGTCATTGGCCACAGAGAGCAGGGTTGGGGAAGTGAGGGGAAGTGGACTTTTTCACTTTAATCAGATTTTAACAGTACACATTAACTTCACAATTAAAAAGAAGAATAATTAGGCAGTTTGAAGGCCAGTGCTATTTTTTAGAGATGGAATATCAGGCTGGCAAAAATCAAGAATAAAAAAGTAAAAATGCCTCCTCCCTCCTTCTTAAGGGTTCTTAGAAGCAAGATGCCAGAACTAAAAGTGTCTGTGGAGTACAACAATAGATTTGTTAGTGTCCTATCATATCATAATATTCAAAGTGTTTCTTCATGATCCTTAGTAAAGAGACTAGTGTTTTGAAATTGAAGGGAAAGTAAAACAAACAAGAAACCCAAGATTAGCAAAACAGTACGTGATACTTGGTACCTGAGTTGACTTAATTACCACAAGTAGATGAGCACTGAATATGACTCTAGATTCCCTGGAAACTTAGACCAAAAAGAACTATCTTGGGCTCTATCATTTTAAATGTGTGATAGAAAAAAAGCACGTAGGTAAATTTATGGAAGAAAACTGTCCTTGTATTGACTGAGAGATAAAATCTATTTTCTTTTATAAGGAATATTAGGGCACAGAATAAATCACGTCTTTATCTACAATTTTGTAATAGATATACTTTGTTTCAATGGGTATTTCTTTTATGGAGGCTCTAGTAGTGCTGAGAGCATAATACTGCACCTTAACACAGGAGAGGTTTTCTTGCATAGAACAGAAAACAAGGCCCAGGACCTTTGCTTTCTGCTGATGTAACTTTTGAAGTTGGAAGAATTAAAATTTCTGGCTCATTAATGTATCCATCAGATTGCTTTGCAACTTCCTTAAATATGTCATTATGAGATGAGTAAGCCATGTGAGATTAGGACAGGGAAGAACCTCTTAGTTAGGTATGCCCTCTTTGTGGAGTTCCCACTGGGAATCAGTCTCTATTGCAGTAGGAATGTATCAGAAAGGCAGAGGACATGTCCAGAAAGTGGCTTCACTAATTAGGTAATAGAAGCAAGAGGGGCTGGACCTGAGGAGCAGAACTATGGTCCCCAGCACCAGGATAGCAAGTGTTTGGATGTAAGAAGTTATCCAGTTCTCTCTTCTGCAGCAAGATAATTCAGGGTTCCCAGCACCTTGCCTGTATATTGGGGAAGAAGTTAAGGCAGCCCTTGGAAGTTCACATCAGTTCTAGCTGTTGAAAATTCAACTGAACAGTGTAATCCATTAGAACTATAACCTGCTAGAAATTCAAGTTTTGGCCTTAACCAGTCCAGGTTTAATCATACCATCATATAAGGGAGTTCCCCATCCTGGTCCTCATGAACTAGCCTCTTCTGGCCACCACAGTATCCTTAGCCAGGAGTGATGATTTAATGACTCATCGCCTTTCCAAGGTAGGGGTATTTCCATAAACAGGAATATGCTCACCTCCTTTTCTTTTTGTCGATGATGGGCTGCTTAGACCAGCTTCTGAAGGACAATGTAGGAATTAAATACTTCTTCACTTGTATTCTTTCATTATCTTGTCCAACAAATACTCAGTTCAAGAGATCTCACATCTTGCTTAAAAGTTACGGGCTTTTTTTTTTTTTTTTAACATTCATGTTTCATTATTTCTACCAATGTCAATGTACAGAATGAAGGAAACTGACATTTATTAATGTCTCGTCTCTTGCTCTATATTATTTTAGGCATTTCTTGGCTCAGTGCTTACAATGTAAGTGCTGTGTACCCAAATTTACCTTCATGTAACCCTAGACTTAAGGATCTTTCCACTAGAGTCCTGTGTTGTCAGATGCAGGCAAATTGTCAAGTTCACTGGATATGTCTGGTAAATAGTATTTATAATAGGTTTGAGTTAATATTGGTTCAGTAGGTTTTGATTTCCCAAGGATGACGCTATGCAAGAGCTCCCTTAATGTACAAAATACCTTAGGTAAATGGCCATCCCAGGGATTCAGGCTTGGATCAGAATTTAAGGTAAATGAATAAAGATACTGAGTTGTAATGCCTGGAAAGCAGTTCTGGACATTTACACACACAAACACAAACACATCTCTACCTCCCCCCATCATACACACACTTAATAGGAAATTAGGCACACAAAGCCTTGTCTAGGAAAATTTAATCCTTTCAATAGCTAAATAATAAAAAAGGAGCTGGCAGATGATTGGTACAAAAATATTACTAGGGAAAAAAAATTTCGCACCAAGCTGGTGGGTAATCGCCATGTCGGTGTGATGTGCTAGCTCGGAAGTGTTTTGTGCCGCTGTCATGGTTCGTTCGCTAAACTGCATCATCGCTGTGTCCCAGAACATGTGCATCGGTAAGAACAGGGACCTGCCCTGGCCTCCGCTCAGGAATGAATACAGGTATTTCCAAAGAATGACCACAACCTCTTCAGTAGAAGGTAAACAGAATTTGGTGATTATGGGTAGGAAGACCTGGTTCTCCTTTCCAGAGAAGAATCGACCTTTAAAGAACAGAATTAATATAGTTCTCAGTAGAGAACTCAACGAACCTCCACAGGGAATACATTTTCTTGCCAAAAGTCTGGATGATGCCTTAAAACTTACTGAGCAACCAGAATTAACAAATGAAGTGGACATGGCTTGGATAGTGGGAGGCAGTTCTGTTTACAAGGAAGCCAGGAACAAGCCAGGACATCTTAGTCTATTTGTGACAAGGATCATGCAGGAATTTGAAGGTGACACAATTTTTCCAGAAATCGATTTGGAAAAATATAAACTCCTCCCAGAATATCCAGGGGTTCCTTCTGATGTCCAGGAGGAGAAAGGCATTAAGCACAAATTTGAAGTATATGAAAAGAACAATTAATGTGAAAATGTTTTCTGATCTATTTCGATATTACCCAACTTCAAAAGCTACTATAAAGCTATAGTAATCAAGACAATGTGGGATTGGCAAAAAAAAAAAAAAAGGCACATAGATAAATGGAACAGAATAGAGAGCCCAGAAATAGACCTCCATAAATATTTTCAACTGATCTTTGACAAAAAAGCAACGGCAGTACAATGTAGGAAAGATATCTCTTCAACAGATGGTGATAGAACAACTGGACATCTGTATGCAAAAAAATGAATCTGGGTATAGAGCTTACACTCTTCACAAGTATTAACTCAAAATGGATCACTGACCTAAATGTAAATAAAAAACTATAAAACTCCTAGAAGATAAGACAGGAGAAAACCTAAATTACCTTGGGTATGATGATGCCTTTTTAGATACAACACCAAAGCACAATCTAGGAAAGAAATAATGGATAATTCAGACTTTATTAAAATTAAAAACTCCTCTATGAAATACAATATCAAGAGAATTAGAAGACAGGCCTCAGGCTGGGAGAAAATATATGAAGAAGATACATCTGTAAAGGATTCTTACCCAAAATATACAAAGAACCCTCAAAACCCTCAAAACAGTAAGAAAATAAACAACCCAGTTTAATAATGGGCCAAAGACCTTAACAGAATCTCACTGAAGTAGATATACAAATGGCAAATAAGCATATGAAAAGATGAAAAGAAAAGATCATATGTCATCAGGAAATACAAATTAAAATAACAATGAGATATCACTACATACCCATTAGAATAATTAAATTTTGGAACACTACCACCAAATGCTGCTGGGAATGTGGAAAAACAGCAACTCTTATCCACTGCTATGGGAATGAAAAATGGTGCAGCCTCATGGACATATATACACTACCAAACGTAAGGTAGATAGCTAGTGGGAAGCAGCTGCATAGCACAGGGATATCAGCTCGGTGCTTTGTGACTGCCTGTAGGGGTGGGATAGGAAGGGTGGGAGGGAGGGAGACGCAAGAGGGAAGAGATATGGGAACATATGTATATGTATAACTGATTCACTTTGTTATAAAGCAGAAACTAACACACCATTGTAAAGCAATTATACCCCAATAAAGATGTTAAAAAAAAAAAAAATGGTATGGCCTCATTGGAAGACAGTTTTTGGTTTTTCTCACAAAACTAAACATACTTTTACAGTTGGATCCAGCAATCCCACTCTTTCATATTTAGCCAAAGGAGTTGAAAACATGTTTGCAATAAAACTTGCACATGGATGTTTATAGAAGGTTTATTCATAATTCCCCAAATTTGGAAACAACCAAGATGTCCTTCAGTAGGTGAATGGCTAAATAAAGTGTGGTAAAGCTAGAGAATGAAATATTATTCATTGCTAAAAAATGAGCTATAAAAGCATGAAAATACATGGAGGAAACTTAAATGCTTAAATGCATATAATTAAGTGAAGCCAATCTGAAAAGACTACATACTGTATGATTGCAACTCCATGACATTCTGGAAAAAGCAAAACTTTGTAGACTATAAGAAGATCAGTGGTTGCCAGGGCTTAGGATGGAGGGAGGGATGAATAAGCAGAGCACAGAGGATTTTTTTTTTTTTTTTGCGGTATGCGGGCCTCTCACTGTTGTGGCCTCTCCTGTGGAGGAGCACAGGCTCCAGACGCACAGGCTCAGCGGCCATGGCTCACGGGCCCAGCCGCTCCGTGGCATGTGGGATCTTCCCGGACCAGGGCACGAACCCGTGTCCCCTGCATCAGCAGGCGGACTCTCAACCACTGCGCCACCAGGGAAGCCCAAGAGGATTTTCAAGGCAATGAAAATATTCTGTAAAATATTATAATGATAGATGCATGTCATTGTACCTTTGTCCAAACACATGTAAAGTACAACACTAAGAGTGAACTTTGAGGTGACCTATGAACTTTGGGTGATTATGATGTGTCAATGTAGATTCATCCCTGCTAAAAAATGTGTGAGTCTGGTGAGTGATGTTGATAATGGAAGAGCCTATGCATGTGTGGGAGCTTTGGGTATATGGAAATTCCTGTACCTTCCTTTCGATATTATTGTAAAACTAAAAATTCTCTAAAAATTGTCTTTAATTTTTTTAAAAAAGAAAGTTCTTCTGTGAACAAAGACCATGAATAATAAATACAAGAACTCAAGAAAGAGAAAACAAGGCAGTGGGGGGAAATGGAGTGTCAATTGTCAGATTTTAGTAAAATAGAAGAACAAATCAAAATCATCACAGAAATATAAAAGAATTGAAAGGAGCAGTCACGAGAATAGACACTGGAGAAAACACAGCGAGGGTACTGAAGATATAAGTGAGGAGATGCAAAAAAGTAAAATAAAAATGGAAGGTTGAAAAGGACTAAGGAGAAAATGATAGATATGTAAACCAGGCAGAGAAGACCCTATATATGCATAATTGGAGTCCCTCAAGGAGAACACCAAAAACAATGGAACAGGATAAATATTTGAAAACATAACTTGAGGAAAAAAGTTGTGAAAAGGATAGAATACCTTATCCTATTTGTTGAAAGGACATATCATGTACCAGTGAAAATTGACCCAAATCAGTTAACACTGAGACATATTCTTCTGATATGTACCCAAGACATATGTCCTCAAGACATATCATAGTAAATATATTAGCCTTTAATGATAAAGTTTTCAAATAGCCATGTAGAATGATCACAATACTTACAAGAGGGAAAAAGTCAGACTGTCCTTAGATTTCTCCTCTGTGACATTGAACACTAGAAGTCAGTGGACCAAAACCTCTGGGATACATAAGGAAAGAAGGTATAAATCAAGGATTTCATGTCCACCCAATGTTTTTATTAAGTATACAAACAATATTAAATATGGCACAACTCTAGAAATACTGTTCGCCTACCAGAGGCTGAGCTTCAGCCAATCAAGGGATAACAGAGAAAAATTTAGCAAAATGACTAGTGATAAGCACGGTATATGATTAACAGAAATAAGACTAAACCAAATATGTGGATCAGATGACAAATCAGAACATAAGCTGTATATGCCTTGACAATTTAGAAATATACAAATAAAAATTGGGAGAGTAAGGGAGACAGTATTTTGGCACTTTCTTACAAAAATAAACATGCCGCTACCATATGTAGAATACCACAGGTACAGTATTCACTGAATACCTCATCTGTAATAGTGTGGAGTCAAAGGATATTGTATAAAGTTGAAAAGTCAAGCAATAGAATTCTAACTTGGTATTGTTATATAACTTAACAGTGTAAAGATGGTAATAAACCATCTTTACAATAAAAGAGTAAAAAAAGATTGTTTTAAAACATACAATTTCTAAATAGCTAAAATTAGAAATGCTGAACAATTTGTAATGACAATGCTGATTTTTAAGAATTGTGCATTAAAAATTGAGTAATCCTTTAAACAAAATAATGAGGTAAACATATTTCTCTTGAAAAGATACTCAAGATAATTTATGCTAAAACATAACCATAAAATATTACTGTACTTCTCTGTACTTACTTTTGAGAAAATTTAGTATACTGCATGGAATCATGGATAAGTTGAAGACTATAAACCTAAAGAAAATAATAAGTAGTGCAAATAGACTTTTGATAGCCCATACACACTTTTGTGGTTGTTGAATTAATGTCTTTTGCTTGACTTTGAATGCTTCTGAAAAGTAAAGGATGTACTGTCCCTTACCAAGAAGTGGATGTACCTCCATGCGTTGATGGAGAAGTCCTATCTGTCAAGGAGCATCTCTCCTTTCACTTAATTTGGTTTGCAGGAGAACTCCAGGCTCTTTGATCTCAAGGGAGCAAAAATCTATTACAGAGTGTAACATGGTATACAACATATTTTGGGGGTCCCAAACACTTGTGAGAATCTGATTAAAGTGATAGGACCTTTCTCCAGGAAATGCACATGTGACATTTTGCCTATAACTGCATGGGGCCCCTGAAGCTCATCCAAAGAGACCCTCTTGGTTTATACTCCCCAGCTTAAAGACCCTTATTTAAAAAGTTCTTTGAACTTAGGTCAGAATCTCTACTGTTGATCTGGCTGGTCAGAACCACAGTCTTATTCTTACTAAAATGAAACATTCCGGTACTACAGCAGTAGTTTGCCAAGGGGAATAATTAATCATTATGAATCCGGAAGGGTCTTTTTTTTCTATTGTAAAATGACTAACATTGCAGAACATTTACCACATATCAAATCTACTGGTAGACACTATCACAAAGGGAAGTTTCCTGGTCATTGCAGCTCAGTCATCACTTGTCCTAAAAATAGGTAGAAAGATGTTCCTGGTCACTAGCTTCACTCTCTTGCATATAGTTCAGCATGGTATTGATGCTGAAGTGAGCATATCCGGGATGTCTGACTAGTAGGCAGACACCACACCACAATTAAGAATTCAGTCACCCCTATGGCAGGTAGGCAGGACTGAGTCCTGTATTCCATCCTTAGCCAGAGATTAGAATATGCTTTGAGAATGAGCATTGTCCGACATAGTTTTCTCTGTGGATATTGTGTTCAGTTTGGAGAACAGAGAGCACTTCTGCCCAGCAGATTTTCACTGTTGTGCTTTTTTGAGAGGTGATATAACCAAGGTAAACATAAGTCAAGGTTTACAGATTCAAGTCATCCCTTTAATTGTATCAAGAAAGACAGATAATCTTGATCTCAAATTTGAACCAACTCCTCAGATTACTTCTTTTAAATCTGGGTGCATCTCTTTCTGTACTGTTGACTTACACTGTAGCTCCTCTGTGATTTTCTTTATCTTCATCTGAAGTGAAACCCTGGACATGTATAGGAGCATGCTCACAATATTAAGCTTGCTACTTGGCCCCCTGCAGGGCCAATGCAGCAGAGACTCATATGCTCCAATTTGTTTTTGCACTTCTATAGAATTCACAATGAATTTCACACATCTTTCAAGATATAAACCTCACTTGAAAATTTTATAAATTTGAAGACTCAGTGAACTAAGTG